GAAATAGTAGAGACATTTTTGGGGGCTCATTTAGGTGGGAATGGCATGGCTCAACAGTGGCTTGAGATTCTATGAAAAAGAAACTAGAAAAAGTCTCATCTCTGCTTTTTAGAAAAGAACAAATTCTGAACAATTCACGCTATCGAAAGCTTCTCCCTTCTACAAAATAAGCTGCATTTTCTTCGAAAAGAACAGGTGTAGAGATGCTGCTGACGTTTTCCATAATGTTTGCTTCCATAGCAAAAAAAAAGGCAAAACATATGCATGGCGTGCAAATTAGCAATTTATCTGCAGGTTGTCATAGCCATAATGAATTCGCAGGGCTGAATCAGCAAAAACAGACGTATGTGCGTAGACCTACCAAATTAGGTAGGACGAAAAGTATTTCAGTCCATAGCTGCTGTCTGAAAGCAATAGCATATATATGTAGCACCCAAGTGTTATGCTTCTACCGCCTATCATTGTTATTTTATCTCAACTAACACTTCCGCATTTAGTTAAATTGTAAAAGCCTATAATCTCACCCAATTTCCAATAAAATCTTCGCAATTAATAAAAAGAGGTATGCAATTCATTAAGGAAAGGATAATAAGAATTGAGTCATTATTCGTTTCGAAAGTAACTGGAAGAAAGATTCGCTAATGCCTTGGCCATACCTCACGCGATTTCAGTAGCCAAGCGAGTGGGAATTTGGATGTCCTCAGATCCAACTCCGGCAGATTGCAAATGCATAGTCCATACAACATCAGTAAACTGATAAAATGCCTCGTCCTCTGCGCATAGAGTGCGCGTACGATGAGCTATGGACAATTGAATATTGTCAAATCGCTCGCGAGTGAATCGCGTGGGGTATGGTCAAGGCCTAAAACGTTGGCAGCAATAATGCAGCTTTTCATCTCTTTGCAAATCATGATTCTATTGAAATTGAGCCATAGAACTTTTAGAAAGTCAATAAAGTCTGCAGCCCTTGATTTTTGCCACGGTCAAATTTTGGCCCGTAGTAAACCCTCATCAGGGCATCTCTCTTGAGGCGGACCGGAGTTGATCTCATCGCGCCTCAGCACATTGCCAGGGGAGCGATTGATTTGGAGCAGATCACTTACTGGTCGTCCGCGTTTCTAAAGGTGGAACGTTTCTTCCACTTGTGCATTGTAGCCGAATGGATAAGACCAATGCGTTTCAAGCGGCAGAGTTGTGGTTCGAGTGCGGCTAGCAGCACCACTTTTGCTACTTGGCCTGGCGACCTTTGATAGCGGCCGTTATCGAAAAATCGATGATAGCAGCTATCAAAGATCTCGCTTAGCAAACAACGACATAAAACAAATATACAATAATTTGACACTCATACAAAGAAAAATTACACTTAGCGAAAAACGACTAAAAAGATAAATTTACTTCTTTGTCATCTGAAGCTGTTTTTACGTAAAAAACGTGAAACCTTTTTTCGATTTTGTCGCGCAATCAGCTGTTCATCGACCCTCACATTGGCGCCCGAAATTGTGCAGTTTTGGGAGTTTTGCACCGCAAAAGAACGTCAGCTGCGATGTTTCGTAAGTTACTCGGGAGCAACTTACGGAGATTTTCTCTGTGCTCTCCTCTTTAGCACAGTATTTACCTTATGTCGTCGCCCGGCTCATCTCCGATGACTCGGTCGGGAGCTGATCTCCCTGCCGGGTTTCATCTGAAGCTCACCTGTAGGATGACCTTGCATACTTACACCACGGAAAAGTGGGCAGTCCTCATCTCATCCGACAAAGCCTCATATGAGGGCCTCAGGGGAGATCATCTCCCGTGACCGAGCTTTACTACGGGCCTTTGCAATTTTCCTATTTTCTATGTGCTCCACTGAAGTTGAATTTGCTACAACTGAAGAAAAACCTTATAAGATAGGAATCTCATTACAGCTTTTTCCATCAGCTCAGCCATTTTGCAAACTTTCTAAAACTGAAATTTTGGGTCGTTTCTGTAATTACATTAGGTTGTTCCAAAAGTTCTTTCCGTCTTCAGCCTATTTATAAATTTTTTCATGGTTTTCACCTATTCATAATTCAAACAATCCATAAAACGCGTGGAACCAAGACAGGGAAACGCTTAGCACTACCCGACGCAATTTTTCTTCGTCGTTCTAACTGTCATATCCATATGCTGCTTATTCTCGTGGTCACTGAGATAATCGCAATTTCGAACCCATGGTTTCTTATGTCCAATTTTGGCAAATTTTCAGGATCTTCTTTATAGGGGCCTGCAGGATCGCGAGAGTCGGACGTGCGTACGGCCATTGCGCCGCGCACTTCAGATGTGCGTCCGACGACTCAGGTAGGTGCCAGACTTATCCTGTTGAACAGGTTCATTCGGTTCACCACCTTTGCTGTTGGACAGTGTAGTGATTCGACCTATGAACCGAACGAACCGGCTGAAGCCGATAAGTCTGGCACCTGCCTTAATGACATCGGACGTGCGCGGCGCAATGGACGTACGCACGTCCGACTCTCGCGATCCTGCAGGCCCTCATACGAACTTTTGGAGAAGATTCGATGGCAGTTACATAACATAAGCAAATGCAACGCAATGCATTTTTTGGCAATTCAAACTAGCTTCTCAGTCTTCAAAACAGCTTGTCTAGAAGTTTTCAGTTTTACGAAATCACAGAATACACAAACGCACCGAACACTAACAAATCTTCGGATTTTGAAACTTTCAAAAGTTGATTACGATTATCCAGGATTTTAACAAAGCAGCTGAGCGTTTACCGCTTCAAAATAGAAGATCTCGCATTTTACATGTGCATGTGGGAGCGGGTTCTAAATCTGGAATTATGGGAATTTTATCGCCAAAGACCCCACAAACTGAAAAGAAAAATACTCTATAGAAGGAGGAGGAAAAGCTGCATCGAGTGACATGTTGTGCGCCGTTCCATGATGGCTCTTGTCATCTCCAAAAATGGAATATAGCGTCAGAAAAATAATTCTTAAAAAATTTTCAAGGCTAGCTATATAGGCCGAAAAATTGCATTACGTTGCACTTTGTTTACTCTATCTGAATGCTATCAAAGCTTTTCCAAAAAACAAAAACGAAGACTATGGAAAGTTGCCAAAATTACACATGGTAATAACAGTGGGTTCCAAAATTTTGGCGATTACCTCAGTGTCCACAAGAGCAAGCGGCATAGGAACATGATAGTCAAAAAAAAGCTGTTTCGGACAGTGCTTAGCTTTTGGCTTCCTTCATTTCAAGAGTTTTTATGGTATGTTGGAAAGACGGAAAGAACTTTCGGAACGACCTAATATGTAGATGAGAAACCTAATGGTTACTAAAGTCTAATTGCGCGTGTCGAGCTTTACTCACTTTTAAAAATGTGGTTTTTGAGGATGCAGAAATGAGCCAATTTGGTGTTGAAACCAAAATTTGTCACAAAAACTCTAAGGAAATGATTGAAAAAACTTCTATAAAAACAACAGCCAGAGCCCGCAAATAGCGACGTTTGATTGTAAAAAATTGCTGAATGTAAGCATCATAGCAGTAGTCAGCCAACCATTAGACAAGATGAGAAGCTGCATCGAATACGACCTAGGTCAACTAAAGAATATTATTGGCGGATTTGACGCTGGGTCCAATTGAAATTACCTTCTGAACGACCTAATACTAGTCGAAGTTATCCCACACTAATCATGGAGCTGAAGATTCAAGGATAGGAAGTGGAACCATTAGTCTGGATATCAAC